GCCATCTACTCAATATTTTTAAAGCTGTTACAGGCACAAGCAAAAAAGAGCAAAGAACAAGGGGAGAGGGAAAAAGCAACATAAAAAAAAACAAGGCTTAACATGACCCAGCAACATCACCAGTAACCATGGGTGGATCCAGGATTTTGGAAAGCAGGGTACAGAAGCAACAGCTTGTGCTGCTGGGATAGCTAAACCCCAATTCCCAATTTCCTCTCCCCCTCCCCACCAATCAGGGCAGGAAGACTGAGTCACAGGAACAGCAGGGGGGGATTTTTAAGTCCTTCAAGTATGTAAAGAATCTTCCCTTCCCCCTTCCACCCCTATGCTCAGCTGTACATTCCCCGTGTACTTCACAGCCACTCCTGTCCAGCTCCAGCCAAGCCGCATGTGGAGGCAGGCAGATCTAGAGAGAGCAGCAGCAGGAGGCAGGTTCCTTTCCCCCAACACCTTGTTCCTGGGCTGGAAGCAAGCATGAAACACTTGGGGAGCTGGGCAGGAAGAAGGGACCCACCTGCTGCTGTCCCTGGCTAAGCCCAGCTCCCCAAGGTATTCAGCTGCAGCAGGCAGGAGCAGCTCTGGAGATTCCTCCCTCCCTACCCCTGTTACAGCAGCAGCAGGCAGGGGAGGGAAATGTGCCCAAATGCCTGATTTTTAAAGTTTCAAAGGCTGGCAATACCACTCTACTGCCTAGCACTGTGTTTACATGTACCAAATTTACAGATAAACATACCTAGCTAAGAGGTAAATATTAATCTTACCTGCACCTTGAAAAATATTTCATAAGCACTCATTGCATCAGATGGATCACTGTATATTATGTGTTTGGACAATACAAGAGACCCCACCAAGAAACTACTGACAAAAGATGCAAACTGGGTTAGATTTTAGTTGTTTCTCTATCTCAAGTAAAAAAAACAAACAAAAACCCAGAATCAGCAGTTATTCTACAGAGACCAAAAAAATTTGAATTTAGAGTATCAGATTAAAAAAAACCAAACTGATGAAAATATAAAATTCAGCTCCAAACACAAAAATATTGAAATAAAACAACATATTTATTGTACAATTTATTGTAATTCTAATATACTGTTCCACAACCTGATTATGAGTGTTTTGTAAATCGGGAAGATTACAGGAATACACATTAAACCACGTCAATGAGCATTACTGAAAATAAAAAAATTGCAGGAGACAGGTACCAATCAAATAATCAATATGCAGGAAACAACTACATCAGCCCACTTTATAAGTGGGAAAGAATATTGTGATTTGATTTACTTTAAGAACACACACTTGAACAGAAAAAAAAATTGACAGTCACGTCAAGATTTATTTCCAGTTAGTTTAACAACTATAGTTTCCCACTGCAGAAATAGCATGTTATTAGTCTACTTCAGTCTCTAAAAAAGCCAGCAGCAGAACAAAAACGTAACTCATAAGAAACAGGAAATTATGTTAATTCTGTGCTTTCATTCTCTTAGAGGGTCACCAGTGCAATTCAACGTAATCCAAGTACAATTCTGTTTTCAATCTGGCCACCTGACAACTATTAATTGTGTACTTCTTGCATTTTATCTGGGAAAATTCAAAACTTTTTAAATAGAGAGTTAGGCATGTTAGAGAAAAACCCATTTCTGGATTTAAAAATTTTAGTAACATTTAAAATAAAACACGCTTGTTTTTAAACACGCACAAAATAGATAATGTTATTTTTAGTGCATCTCGGATTAAATTATTGCCATCTACAATTAAAAGAAAAAAGCAAAATACATTCTTTTAATTGGTTTTAAAGTGCACATCTAATTTGTATGTACACACACCAGGCGCACACACAGATAGACTGATCTCACTGGTCAGACAACACTAACTAGCCAGCTATACGAGCAGTGCAGGATTTTCTGCACTCAAGTATATCTGACAAGAATTATGGGAAATTGTACCAGCTATGAGAACAGAAATCATATTACCCCAATAGTAAGGTACACACTTATGGCAAAATAGCTCATGAATACAGACCAAATGGGTTATACTTTCATGATGCATTTGACATGAACTACTCTCATTAATTTACCAGAAGCCAAACAATGCAGTCAACTAGGTTACTGAACACAACTCAAGTGCAATGAAATAGGACATTAAGAAGTGTATGCTTCTCTGGGATCATCTCACCCACTGAAGTTAACTTAAGCTGGGATCATCTCTGAGCGCCAGCCTGGTATCGAAGTTAAGTTCAGCTTCTGTAGAGATTACACACACACCCCGCCCACGCTCTGCACCCAAACCCTAAAAACATGTCAACTTGCCAATAACTTGCACATTTTTTACTATTTATTACATAATTCAGTCGGCTAACTGCTAGAACAGCATCTTGCCCCTTCTCAAACCTCTTACTCTTGTTTTGCCATCAAAATTAAACAAAATGTAGTCAAAACGTTGAACATCCATTATTACAGAGCAGGTGCACTCAGGTCCATGCACCTCCATATCAAAGATAGATTTACTTACAAAAAAATTAAGTAATGTGGTTTTAATTGAAATTTAAAAACCATCTATCTAATATTCTAGCTGCCACTTTAGGTTATAATTACTTGCAATATTAGATCAGACCAGTGAGGATTACACCTTCATATTAATCAATATATTCATAAATATAACATTTACCTTGAAGAACAATGTAGCTAAAGCAGAAGAGTCTGCACCAATTCAGCCCATAAGAAACCAATAGCTTAAGGAATTTTCTTTTTCTGATTTTGTAAAAAATATAACCAAGCTCAAAGACATCAAGAACTTCTTTACTCAACTCATATTTTGCTTTAAAATTATTATATCACAAGGGTGATGTGTCCAAGGGTCATACCCAAGCTGTTTGTAACACTAGTAATAAATAGCATTTAACATTCCATTTTTTGAAGAACTTTCTGAATAAAAAACACACAGTGCTGTTGTCAAGCTCTGGAAATCAATGAAAAGTGTTATGTAGCTGGAGGTTTAAAGACTTTCCTTCATTCTGGTAACCAGCATACTGGGTACATCAGCAGACAAAGTGTGCTAAAAGTGCTTTTTGAAAACACTGTTACAGCACTTTAGATAATGCTGAAACTTTCCCAGAACAGTTGTTTTTCCAATGCCAGGTAGGGGTTGCAATACTAAAACCATAAAGTGTCAAATGGAAATTCAGTCTCAGGTTTCTATTGTTTATTATATTGTATTGATAAGGGAAGAGTTCACGCACTGGCTGGTAGGGCTGTGCAAAACTTTAGCAGCTCTTTTGTTTTGGAGGTGTTTCGGCCCATTTTGGCACCCGAAACACCAAATCCAAAACGAAACAGAAAGCTCTGAAACATCTCCGAAACCAAACCAAACCACAACATCTGAAACGTTTTGGAAAAATTCATAGTTTTAAAGCTGGGCTTGCAGGGAAACAGAAACTAAGAGGAGGAAGGGGGGTGGGAATGCCTCCCTTCTCATGACCCCCTCCCCCACCGCCCAGGTTGCTGCAGCAGGAGAGAAAGGCCAGCTCGGGGACCCTGCCCCGACCTTGCGCAGACCCAGAAGCCCGCCCTCCCTCTGGCTTGGCTTCTGCCATGGGGCGAGGTGGCAACTGTGGAAAAAAGCCTGTGCAATATCTGTTCTGATATTGACACCTGTAGCTGGCCAGTGTCTGCGATCTCTCCCTGAGGTCAATTCCAATCCCAGCGCTCTGGAGGAGGGATGGCAGCCTGCTGTCATCCTGCGCACAGACCCAAGGGCCCGCGCCCCCTGGGAGGAGTCTGCCACAGCCCTCCCGGGGGGCACAGGCCCCCAAATCGGCAGGTAGGATGACAGCATGCTGTTACTGCCAGCAAGCGATACAAGTTTTGCTTTGAACAGTTTGAGATGCAGTTTCACAGAAACCCCTGCACCTATATCTTCTTGAAACTTGGCAGAGTTCATGCCCTTAGAATGGGCTACCATCCCTGCAATTTTCATCTGAATCAGGCAAGAAATGACAAAGTTACAGGCATTTTAGTGATTTCCCATTATAACCTATGGCTGAATCACCGAAACAACATCAAACCAAAACGGAACAGTGATCTGAAACATTGAAATGAATCATTGTCCCTCCAAAACGGCCAAATCTAAAACTGAATCTAAACATAGCCATTTCGCACAGCCCTGCTGGCTGGGACTTGAAAAGGCCTCAGTAATGACATGTTGCAATGTATTAAATCATATTTAGGAACCTACCTAAATTGTGGCAGAAGTTTGTGGTACAGCAGCACTCCGGCTCCCGCCCCCCAGCTGAATGGCCAAGAGGCAATTAATGCTCGCTAACCATGCTAAACGGACACACTACTTGTAAATTCTTACTAAGGTAATGTCTGAACAATGAAACAAGTATTCAAATGACTATCTGTAATCAATTAAAAGTGATAAGGTCTTTTAACTTTTATTACAGTAAATGTAGTATCAAATGTTTCTATTACTATACATTTGTAAGCTATCAACCCCCTAACATGTTCTGCAGTTTTCATTAAATTTAGAACTGTGTTGCATTACTGGCTAAAAACCTTCCAAGTTGCCCTTAAGAATACAGGGGATGTGTAAAGGATGTTGGTGCTAAATTTCATTCCTCTACCACCCCTTAACTTCTGTCTGAAGCCTAAAAGCATGCATATATATTTCACAGGAGTTGAAGGTGAATAAGCAGAGCAAAAAGGGAGGTAAGAATGAGGTAGTTAAGAATAAAGCAAACTGTGACAAGACAGACCACTCAAATATTACAGCTACCAGAATGCCTAGCAAAATATCCAAGGGATCTTTAAATACTTTTTAAAAAAGACTACCAGGCCGAAGACATATTCCCAATCTAACCAATTTCCAAAACTAAGTTTAGTAAAAAGACTGCCCTCATCACACAGATGCTTAAACAACTACCAGTTTCCCTTGTCAGTTCCTCAGAAAAGGCAGACAATTTCTATAACAGATATTAGTGTGTGGAGGGAAAAGCTACTTACTCAAGTCCAGAACATCATCTGTTTTTATTAGATCTTCCTCCCTTGTCAGTGGTAACTGTGTTTCTGGTTCATCTCTCAGATGCAGTGACAATGAACGCAGCATGAAGAAAACTCTGATCGCCTAAAGAAATTAAAAATAAAACATTGTTTAGAATAGCTGCTGCACTATTTTGAAGATATTTAAGCCTGAAGAAAAAGTATTCAGAGTCTAAAAAGAGTCTTATAAAAAACATACAATCTTACCATACCTTTGGCCCTACTTAAATGTACTTTGTTTACTGTTTAAACTGAGAAAGTATCTTAGCATACTTGTTTGTCACCACCCAGAAAGAGAGAGACGCCAGAGATTCTACATATAGTGGCAGAGAACAAAAGGTACGCTTCTACAACCTAGAATAATGAGGCAGGTGACATTAAGTATTTCAAACAGGGATGCAAATTAGAAAACTTCAATTTTGGTTTATGGATTTTTTTTAAATTTTAGGTGATGCACGAAAGACAAATAAAAGCAAAGTTGTGGACTGGCACTTGGAGACAGAAAATGCAGGTTCCCATACTTTGTATCAAAGACCACTAGAGTAACCAGAGATAAATGGCATTTTTTCCGTCAGAAAACTTCTGACTCCCTGAGCCTAATGTTTTTCATTGAGAAGTCTTAGGGTGCCTATACATGTGTTCCAACACGTTCCGATTAGAACATGTTGGAGCAGACTCGATTAACTGGAGCTTTCCAATCAGAATGTTCCAGTGTGCTGCGGTCTCTCATGTATACTGTGTCCCACATTTCAAAATGGCAGTGGGGGCACTTTAACTAAAGCTCGTCAAACAAGTTTTAGTAAAAGCGGCCCCGCCGCCATTTTGAAGTGTGGGATACTGAATAAACAAGTCCCAAGTGCCACTCTAATTAAAGTGCCCTCCCCACTCCCACTCCAGAGCATGTGCAACAGGCACCCTTAGCTTCGGTTCTAACTCCTGCCAATTCCAAACAAAAACTCTTAAAGAAGTCATATGCCAGAGACCCAGAAAGCTTAAAAACTTCAAGTCCTAGGCCAGGGGCAGGCAATTATTTCAGGCGGAGGGCCGCTTACCCAGTTTTGGCAAGCTGTTGAGGGCCCTATGGGTAGCCCTGCTCCTTGACAGGAGCCCCGCCCCCTGTTCGTCATCTTGGGCCCAACATCCCAGGGCCAGGGCCAGTGGGGCCCAGAGCGGGGCACAGGCTGGCAGGGGTCTGTGGAGCCGGGCTGGGCTACACCAGCAGGGAGAGGGGGGAGCTGGCCCGGCTCCATAGAGTCCCTGCCAGCCGGGACCCTGTACCCCTGCCACCCTGCTCTGGGCCCTGCTGGCGCTGGCCCTGTGCTCCTGCACCTGCTCACTCCCAGTGCCCCCCCAGCCCCGCGGTACAGGTCAGGGGGAAGCGCATAGCCCTGCCCCCCTGCTCCACAGCAGGGAAGGAGCTGGTGCGGTACGTGGGGAAAAGCAGCTCCTCGCCTGCCCCGTGGCT